GTTGGTTGTTCATTTACATGACAACGGCGTTTGGGGGGCCTACAAAGGCGAGAAGGATATCTGCAGCCTGGAGCTCTCCAAATGGGGGCGGGAGCTCCAAAATAGGGCGAGGCTTCCTCCCATTGTCAGACAGGCACATGACACGCATGGGCATTTTTTCCCCCAATCCACTTCAGTGCAAACTCCGCCCCACAGCTGATTCTAAAGATTTTATTGGTTGTGTCAATTAAAGTGTTGATTTCCTACACTATGCTACAAACAATGCTAACCCCTAAACCTACCCCACACCTGACCCTAACCTTAACCAGTGAAATTGACTGCACGGGGGGATTGGCGCTGAATATCGTGGTAAAGAAAGTTGCAGTTCAGGAGATAAACAGTTAATAAGATTATGCGATATGAGATCGTTCCGTAACTCCCCAACCGGACCTCACCGGACAATAGGCACCTTTTTAGTTACACCCAGCGTCACTACCCCCTCCTACCCTGTGAATTTCGTGCCCCGGGATGCCCCCGTTGCTTGGAACAAAGCGATAGAGTAAAATCTTTCCCCTGCGCTGACGGCTCGTGGGTGATTCCCGTTTATATCATTAAGCAGAGGTTCAAACTCCAGTCCGAACACCACTGGCCACAAGCTTTGGGCTCTGCTCTCACGGAGAATATTTACTTATATAGCATATTTTATTTTAGATCAACTAGAAACAATGTTTAATTTATAAAGTTTTATTTTGAAATGTAAGTCAATAACAATCGGCTGAAGCCACAGCCAATGGTGAAAGTCTTTGCTCGAGGAGACCCCGCCCCATTTTGGAGGTTCTGCCCACTTTTGGAGTTCACGCCCCATTTTGGAGATCTCCGGTCTTCAGTTATACCTACTTGGCATTATCCGACTCGGCTCCTCCCGACCGCAGACGCTTTTTCCTGCGTTTTTCAGTCAATTTCTTGCCTTTTTCGCCCTTATGAACAACAAATTTTCGTACACGATAAAAGCTCATTGTGGTTTCTCGGTTTGATAGATTTGAGCATCCATAAACAATGAAAAACCTGAGTTTCTGCTAGCGATTCCTATATAGAAAAATCACTTCCTGGCTGCCCTACAGCTGCATTTTGCCACAGCAATGATGTAATGTGCAAACAACCTATTGAGTAATGTTATACACAACATTTTGAGATACTTTGTCCATTCAACAATTAAGGTCTCCGTGCAACATGCAGTTCTTAATGAACCAATTTGTAATTGAATCGGTTGAGTAAATGATTCACTCACTCACTCGACTGTCATTTAGTTCCCAAATGAATCCCTGCTTTTGAATGATAAATTAAGCATAAAATTAAGTGAACCATAAATTATAAAATGATTGATAGAGTCTCTCATCGCTTAAGAATTTCGCCACCTACTGGAGAAACAATGTAAAGAGTCATTGACAAACTGACTGTTTGTTTTTAACTCACAAACAAAGGAGAGAGCGCCTCCACATTTAAAGTCTGGAATTTACTGTCGGCCTGGAGCAGTTAAAGGTGGAAAGAGCTGCAGTGGTCAAAATATTGTTTGATGATCCAAATTTTGAAAGTGAAAAAATCTGGCACATCCCGCATACATGCAAGGTGCGGTCAGATTAGCTACATTTTAGCGAGACTTTGCTGGTAAAACAGGTCCACTGTCCGTTTTTACAGAATTTACTTTCAAATCAAGCAGCTTCCTGTTGGTCAACAAGCGAATTCGCTTGACCAGTTTGAAGACGAGCGAAATCTGTGTGGGGAACTCCAGATCGTGTGAATTCCTATTAAAATAACTGGAATTCACCAGCGAAATTTCTCTGAGCAACAGTAACTGTGGCCACACCTTTTATTCTCTTGTTTTTGCAACTTGAATAGGCATGTGTGAAAAGAGGAGACAACCACTTCAAGGATTCGATTTATGGTATTTTTATTATATTTTTCTTCAAATGCTAGTACCTTTAGATAAGCTCAACAATTTGCTGCAGTTACCCCTGCAACACCCCCTGTTCGATTCCAGTGGCCCAAGCAAGTTTCTTACATACTGCTTTTATGTGAATGTTTATAATCCCACAGTGTGCACTGTGCACTGATGATTTTAACATACTATTCAAATTGTCCCAATTTGCAGAAGTGTAAACATCTCACAGCTTTGTTCTTTACCCTCAACACCAGAGCCACTGTTACCTCTGCTAATGTCTTCAGGCACTGTGCTATCATGAGTGAGTCACGTTAAAAGCCTCTCTAAGTGAATATGATTGCTCCGGCTCTCTAAACCCATGGATAGGAATTCTGGATGAGGCCGCTGGATGATATTTATAGAGACCCACAATAGTGGAAAAGATGCTCAAGTTGAGCCATTTGTTGACATTGCTCTTGACCTTGCTCCCTTGACATGTGAAGACTGTGCACCTGTGCTTTTTGGCATGGCTTAAAGTAGTGCTGGGTGGTATGACCAAAAATGTATATGACGGTATTTTTCAAAATTATACCGGTTTCACGGTACATGATGGTATTTTTTTTTTCCATGCATGACCGGTGTTAACCGTAATTTCTACTGATTGAGAGGAAATCCTGCAGTATATTGACTTAGAATGCCCTATTTTACTGTCATGATGAGTGAATATTGTCAAAAAATACCACACTAAATAGTGACTAAACACGACCCCTTTTAATACATGTTAACCAGGAGTCACTCTCATTTATAATCGCGGCATCGTCTGATAAAATCAACATGCATCTACACTAAAGAGCGGCTATGCGGTTGTTTTGGCTATATTTCTTTTTTGTCTCTTGC